CCATGATTTCTGGTCCCTGCCCCATTTACCTCATTAAATTCTGGGTTGAGAGTCTTCTTCTTCACACCTGTTTTGTGCTTGGATTTCTTATCCAGGTCCGGCCTCAGGTACCTGCAGAGGAGGTGGGGTGGGGCAGAGGAGCGCGGTCAGGGCTATCCCAGGCCTGAGGAGACTAGGGCAGGGGTCGGGCTCCCTGGGGAGGGCAGGGTGGGCCTCAGGGCAGGGGGAGGGCTCACGTCTTGACATAGGGGTCGGAGTAGCCATTGACGTCCATGGCAGCCAGATGGGCACAGCGTATGATGCCCACCAGCAGCCCCCGACGCGGCGAGCTATAGCTGAGACTCAGCAGTATGCGCCCGCGTTCTTCCAGCAGCCCAGGCCCCTGGTCCACCTGCTCCAGCTTCGGGGCAGACACAGAGGTCAGCCTGCAACCTTACCGCCTCCCACCCAGGCTGGTCCATGTGAGGTCCCTTACCTCCCTCAGGTAACAGGATATGCCCCTCAGTGCTGCCGACATGGAAGAGGGTGAAGCCAGCTGAGAGGGCAAAGAGAAGGTTCTGGAAACCTGGCCTCCCCGGGGCCCCCTCCCCTTAGCGCCCTACAGCCCCGCACCGACCGGGACCTGGCGCTCGAGGCAGATATTAAAATGCTTCTTCTGTGAAGGCTTGAGACGGCGGAGGGGTACGCGGATCTCTCCGATGAACTCATTGTGGCTCAGTTTGTCTTCATCACACACGGAGATCCTGGCGGGGAAACTGCGAGGTCAGGGCCCCTGGCGTACCTGAGCCCCACGCCAGTGAGAAAGTGCCTCCGATGGAACCCTGAGCACCTGAGACTGGTCCCGCTCTGCCTTAAAGACACCTCTCCTGTAAGTGGGCTGCGTGTGAGAGACATCACCTTGGTGGTGTGTGAGGTGGACTGGAGCCGAGGCCAGAGGCAGAACCCAGAAAGGCTGGCCCCATAGTTCAGGAGCTAGAGAGTGAGGAATACATCTCTGAGTGCTCAGTGGTACCCAGCCCTGGGCTCTGCATTTTACATTTCTTTTCACTTGATCCTTATAGTAGCTTTAGGAGGCAGGTAATCATTATCTCCATTTTATAGATGGGAATTGAGGCTTTGGGAAGTTGACTTGCCCAAGGTCTCAAGGTCGCTAGAAAGTGGCAGAGCTGGGAATCAAACACTCCTGCATGACACAGCTACTCAAGAGTGTCACAGCAGAAGGAAGTACAGGGGGCTGCAGAAGGGGACAATAGAAATAAAAGCAATCATTTCTTATCTCTGGCCTCGTGAGTGTCTCCCAGGCCGGCTCCCTGCTCCATGCAGAAAAGGACAGGAGCTCCATAGGAGGTATGGGCACCTTGTTCAACTGCCGAAGGCTCCTCAAGGCCCTTCTAGCTCTTACATCCTGAGTCCGTGACCCACATCCACCAAATGCACACCCTATACACAATCAGTAGGATCCTGTCCACAGGCCCTGGAGGTGAGGATGGGGAGGGTCCCCAAGATTTGTTAAGGCTTCCTGAAGTAGCTGAGCAGATCCTGATGGAGCAGGGACAGCCTGAGCAGTGTAAAGGGAGGGGCAGAGGAAGGCGGCAAATTAAAGCATCCTTCTCAGGTGCCAGGCCTGCAGCTCACCACACAGCCCATTTTACAGGTGAGGTGTATTTAATTAAGGCAGAGCGGGACCTGCCCTGATGCAAACTCTTCCATCACTTCCTATTGCCCAAGAACAAAGGAAGGAAAGCTCTTCCAGGAGCCTAGGCTTTGCTGCCCTTCATTCCCTGCCAAGGACTACTCTCCCCACAGCTCCACCTCCCAGGATGACTGAGCAACTTTCCTGTCCCTTAAGACCCCACTCCTTAGAGATGTTAGGGGGACACAGGCAACAGATGGGCAGACCTCCACTGCATAGGTCTGACTTAAGTCCAGAAGTGAAAAGGGAGGTCGGTGACCAGGGAAAGCTTTCAGGACAAGGCAGAGCCTCAAACAACGAGTGGAGCGTAGGGTGGTGGAAAGAGACACAGGAAGCAGGGAGCACTTTCCAGGTAAAGAGACAACAGGCAAAAGTTAGGAGTAATGAACCTGACCAGTCAGAAGAGGGCAGTCCTCTGTCGGAGGAGCAGTAGGACCTATTTTGGGGGTAGGAATGCCAGGGAAACATTTTGTCCTGCTGCCAAAGGGGCTGAGGAGCCACTGATTGTACTTGAGCATCTGAGAGCAGCTCAATAGGAAGTAGATCAACCAAAGAAGGTTCCAATGGCAGCTGTCCCAGAGGAGGTGCTGAGCTGGGCTGCAATCCTTGGCAGCAGGGAGGATGGGCCCCTCACCTGAGCACCTTGTGGCTGATGTCATCGTCCGTGATTCCACTGTACGTCAGGTCCTCATTCCACACTGGATTCAGAGTGTTCCTCTGAGTCTTAGTTTTTAGCTTATTGGCCTGAGGTGTGGGGATGAAGGGTTCTCAATACATGTTCCCTAGATCCACAGAGGCTGAAAGCAAGGGAAGGTTGGAGGTAGACACACAAGCTGGGCCAGACTGGTGGAGGAAGGACGCTATTACCTTGCAGGCTCCAGGCAGCAGGTGCACCTTGACGTAGGGGTCAGCCAGGCCATTGAAATCCATGGGCTTGAGGCCCTGGAGAGGAAAGAGGGCTGTGAGCTCCCAGCCCTCCCCCAGCAGAGTGGATCCTTGGGGTATGGAGAAGGGAGAGGGGTCTGGCCTGGAGACTGGAAGGGAAGGGAGGGTGGAAACCCACCCCTCCCTGGTGGGAGGCAAGCAGGGCTGAGGCTTGGGAGGTAGGAAGTGCCCACCTTGGCCCTGAGGATACTGCAGTGCAAAGTGCAGGAGGCCTGGTCATAGAGAAGGTCAAACTCCAGCGATCCCAGGGCGGCTGGAGGAGAGAAAAAGTAGCGTAGTCAGTGTGTAAAGACAGGGGTGCGAGCCGGCAGGCAGGCCTGCCGTGTGCTGGCTGTGAAGGTGTGTGCATGTATCCCTATCTGTCAGCCTGCAAGTGTGTGTGTCTGGGTTCCTGGTTCGCTGCAACTGGGGCTGTGTGGGTGGTTGTCTCAGCAGAAATATTGAATATTGAGCCTTGCTAAAGCTGTAATCTCCACACTGACTGCAGCTGTAGTGGCAGTGCTGTTGCCTCCCCC